AAAGTGGAAGCGAGTTTATGCAATTGAAAAGAATCCTGCTGTCCTACAATGTGCCAGGCATAATGCGAAGATCTATGGGGTTGACAAACAGATTACTTTCTTCGAAGGAGACTGCTTTCAAGTCCTCAAAAATCAGCTTAAAGACCTGGCGCCATACAGTGTCATCTTCGCAAGCCCTCCATGGGGTGGTATGTTTCATCGATGCTCTTTTTCGCGGATATTGCTGACTCTTGAGTGCTTTAGGACCGGGATACCGCTCTGATGAGGTTTTCAATCTGAAGACCATGGAACCATACTCCCTGGAGACCCTTTACAAGGAATACTCTGCCTTCAGTGAACACATGGCTTTGTATTTACCCAGGACCTCGGATGTGAAGCAACTAGCAAAATTCGCCCGGGGCGACAGCAAGGCGGCAGTGATACACTACTGCATGGAGGGTCACAGCAAAGCGCTGTGCATTTACTACGGCGGTTTTAATGTACAATCATAATATGCTCTCTTTTTTGCCCTATATCCAAATTTAACATGTATTTTCAAGGTTGATTCTAAATATCTTTCACTTGACGTCTGGTCAAAGTATGGTGGCTGTGTAAGACTTCAGCCTGCATACTACATTTTATGACTACGTATCCTTCATCCTTATCTCTAATATAGATATTGCCTTCTTATCTGCCTATTAAAATTCCATCTTCCGGCTCGAATGCTGAGCGCTTTTGAATTGCCCGCTATAAAGCTGATTGCCCGATCGGGTTAGCGCCCAGGCGCGCGGCTTTTTGGCCGCGGTGCCGCGCCTGAGCCCAGTTACATATCCTCATCCTTCACTTCTCTCCCCTCCTTCTTTCCACACGCAACCTCTACGCCGACCGCGTATCCCATCCGGCTTAGTCGACAGATAGGATCCGCCCCTCGATGTGCGCATCATAAACCCCAGACTCTGCCTGCCTGGCTACCTGTCGCCCTTCGTTCATCCATCGTTCCTCTCAGACGCCTCGCCTGTGCCCTTGCGATATCTCGGCCTCACCTGTGTCAGGGTGCGATCTCTCCCTTTGAAGCCAAATATGCCACACGCCACTCAAAATGAGCCCGCCGGGGAGCCGGATGATGCCGACTTCGACAATGTGATGCGACAGCTGAACAATTACGAAAGCGGCCCGCAACTTGACTTCTTGTCGCGAGACCTCGACGTTGGCGAGAAGGCAGACGATGCCGTTGACTACGAAGATTTTGACGACGACGAACTTCCCGAGGAGACGCCCGCTGCGCCTCTACAACCCTCAACGAACGATGCGGACGAAGATCCTTTTGCGAACCTTGGTCAGGAAGACGCTGATCTTTTCGGGGGTGGAGATGACATATTCGGAGAGCAGGAGGGTGCAGACACACAGGGACAGGAGGACAATCTCGATGATCTTTTCGGTGATGAACCTATGTCCCCCGCTGCTGATCAGGCAGATCAGACCCAGGGTCTCTTCGAAGATGAGGAGCCATCAGTGACCAGCCAACCCGTTGAACTGCCTCCTATTCCACCTGCCCCAGAGCCCGAGCCCCAGCAGATGGAGATTGAGGATGATTTTGAGGATGATGAAAGTGTCCTGTCAGAGGATATGGACCCAGCGACCCTACGCGCTTGGAAGCTACAGCAGGAACTGTTTGCGATGTCATCGATAATGGGGCCTGAAACTCTCCCGGCACCACCAGAGAATCATGAAGAACTTCTCCGCTCGTTGTTCCCGAGCTTTGACCGCAGCGCCCTCCCGCGCTGGCTTGAGCTCATTCCTCATAAAAAGGCGATTTTCCTTGGAAAACAACCATTGAAAGTTCCGAAACCAGTCCTTCCCACCAAGGTCAATATCGAACTGGCTCCGGATCAGGAGCGCGTCTTTCGAACTGGTCAAGCAACTAAGCGTGGTCTTGACCATGAGTCCCTGGGTATCGTGATGATCACCGAGGCCACACAGGAGGAAGAGGAGTCGAAGGAGGATATAGAACTAGCAGATGTGGATTTGGATGAGGCGCTTCCTGGCGGATTCACCATGCAAGATCTTCGCACTATTTGTGCAGATTGGGATGTCAGGGACGAAGACCTTTCTGGGGCAGAAAAGGAGAAACATCAGCCAAAGAAGCCCGCGGCTGATCTACTCGATGACGATGAGGATTGGCTGGTTGATGCAGACCATCCTTCGAAGAAGCGTAAAACTGGACCAACTCCCATGGACGTTATCGCTTTGTCTCACCTCGACATTCCACTCCTCGATGACCCCGAACAAGCACTTTCGCAGATCGCAAAGAAGGTCACCATCGATATGAATGATCCTAATATTCTTGTCGAAGAGCTCAGGCCCGATTCCGTTGTTCAAAAACCAAAACATGCCGTCCCTCGTAATGGAGAGGAGGTTGATTTGAATACTACTCGCCGTCTGACCCAGCGATACAATATCTCGAACGACCAGGCCTACGACATGCTGAAGCAGAATCATCAAAACAAGATCCGAAGCACCCTCGGCAATGTGACTTTGGAGCATGCTCTCCCGGCCTTGCGACTCCAGTGGCCCTACTACAAAACGGAGCTGGCGAAGAGTGAATCCCGATCCTTCCATCGGCCTGCCATGGTCTTCCGGCAGGGTCAAACTTCTTGGTTCAAAAATCCAACACATGTCAAACGAAAGCATTACAAGGGCAAAGATCCTAAGGCCCTCTTTGAGTCAACAAAGTCCCTCTCTATGGCAGATAACTCCAGTATACTGCTTGTGGAGTACTCCGAGGAAGCCCCAATGGCTCTCTCTAACTTCGGCATGTGCAACCGTTTTATCAACTACTATCGGCGGAAGAACCCAGATGATCCGACCCGTCCAAGGGCAGACATCGGAGAGACTGCTGTTTTGCTACCTCAAGACAAAAGTCCATTCTCGATCTTTGGACATGTGGATCCAGGTGAAATCACCCCAGCAATTTCAAATTCGATGTATAGAGCACCGCTTTTCCCGCATCAAGCCAAGTCCAACGACTTCCTGGTAGTTCGCAACTCCACCGGCTCCGGGGGCAGCAATTTCTTTGTTCGCAATATCGAAAATTTCTATGTTGCTGGACAGCAATTTCCTTCCGTGGATATCCCCGGTCCCCACTCCCGCAAAGTCACCACTGTTGCCAAGAATCGTATGAAGATGCTTGTTTACCGACTTCTAAAAAAGAGTGCCGACTCCCGACTTTCGATTAGTGACGTAACAGCACATATCCCCGGCACTACCGACATGCAGAACAGACAAAAAGTCAAGGATTTCTTGCAGCATGACAAGGACACCAAGTACTGGAAACCTCTGGATTCCACTCTCCCAGACCAAGATACCATTCGAGCATGGGTTCAACCTGAAGATGTCTGTCTTTTGGAATCAATGCAAGTTGGCCAGCAGCATCTTCACGATACTGGCTTTGGTAACGATGCAGATAACAACAACGATAACGACGACGATGAAGAGAGTGAGAGCTTTGAACAACAAATGGCTCCATGGAAAGCTAGTCGCAATTTCTTGCTAGCGTCCCAGGGCAAAGCAATGCTGAAACTCCACGGCGAAGGTGACCCCACTGCTCGTGGCGAGGGCTTCAGTTTCATCAAGACATCCATGAAAGGTGGCTTCAAAGCCATCGGTGAAAGTGTGGAGGACAAGTTGGACGCACAACGGCTGAAAGAGCTCGGCGGGCACAGTTACAACGTTGCGCGCCAACAGAAATCCTACGAGACTTCTATTCGCCGAATCTGGGATTCCCAGAAAGCCAGTCTCTCCTCCACTGTTGAGCATTCCGACCAAGAAAGCGATGTCGATCAAGAAGAGGAGGAAGACTTCAATAAGCCAACGCCACGATCCGAAGCACCCACTCCGGCTCCTTATCATCACAACGATGAGACAACTAGCCAGTTCAGCAGGATGAGCTTCGCTACTCAAAAGGGCAAGGTTCTACGGATCACGCGTCAAATCAAGGCCGACAATGGCGAAATCGTCGAGAGAGAACAGATCGTCCGAGACCCGCGCGTCATCAAACAATACATTCAACATCGCCACCGCAGCGAAGCCCTCACCACCAAGCTGGAATCCCTCAAGCCAACAGGAGATGCCGAGGTTGATGCCCGCAACCGCAAGCTGATTGAAAATGAGCTGAGCCGGCTCAACCGTAATAAGGAGCGCCGCTTTGCTCGAGAGAAGCAAAAGGGCATTTCTCGCTCTGGCGATTCCTCGGCTGACGGAAAACCCGCCGGTACCCAGCGCAAGTGTGCCAACTGCGGACAAGTTGGACACATCAAAACCAACAAGAAACTTTGTCCTCTGCTTAATGGCACCATGAAGCCTGAAGACCGAGTCACTGACTCGGCCTTCTCCATGAGTGCCCCTGTTCTCTGAGGTAGCTTTATATTTTTACCATAATTGTGCCTCCTCTTTCTTCAATGTGATACCCCACCCTATCTTAAACCCCGGGTTGATATTTTGCACTTTTCTGAGGTCTGCGATTGTTCTCTTTTTTTTTCCGGTCCAACGATGACGCAGTCAAAACTCAAGGATAGAAATTGGCGTTGGGGAGAGACTATCTTTCTGCGTGTGCATGGTACTGGATTTTGCTTTTTTTTGGTTTTCCGCCAGCTTAGACTGGCAGCCATGGCGTATTGAAGCACTATCGTTCTATTTGGCGTTTTCCCCCCACATGTACAGTATGGCCTCGGCGTGCACCGTTGCAGCAATTTATCAAACAATGATACCAGAAGCTCACCTGGGCATATTTCCCACTTACTATTCGCAGTTCGATGTAAATGGCCTTGCGACTGTCTAGAGATGCAGGAAGTAACTGGCAAGCCATGTTTAGTTGATATTTTGTTATCAATATACAGGAGCGAGAGAGGGTTGGACTCGGGAAAACCCAACACGAGCTTTGTAGTAACAGGCAAGTGCCTTATAGAAAAAGGGCCGGTATGAATAAGACAATCCAGGATAACCAAACACCAAAACGTAGAAAGTCAATAGAAAGAACTGCAACCAAACATCCCAGAAACCCATCTCAAAAACCCACTTAGTAGGCGTAGAGGTCCATTAAATCCCCCCCTGCCAATTCTCTGACGGCCACGATCTGGACTGAGGGCGAGTGCCGGGCATATCGGTCGTCTATAAGTGTACCCCAAAAAGACAGACCTCTTGCGTATTTCCAGCGCTGTCTTTCCCGCTCTCATGTCTCGCAATATCTTGTCACGGGGGCGTTTCCTCTCCCTCTTCTTCTTAGTCGCCGCCGCCTTTGGAGAGTCGACATTTGCAAGAGTGATAGCGTCAGCATCAGGTATCGGTTGATCAGGCAACGGGTGGATTTGATAGGATGAGGAGACCTCCATCAGCGAAACATTCGGTTTGTCCTCGGACTTTTCCTCGGACTCCTGATTGTCACTGTCCCCTACAAACTCTTCGGCGTTGCCACTGGATTTCCAATCTTCAAAATATCGGGTGTCTTCCCAGTTCTTGACGCGGGGGGTCATTGGCGGTTGAGTCAAATGAAGTTGGTTCCACTGGATTCCTCTGAAGAATGGGTGGGCTTTGATCTCCACGGCGTCATTCGGGAACACATAATAACTGTTTATGTGTTGATATCGAGGATCCATTGAATACAAGAAATTGGAGGTGACAGGCCGGCCGATCAATATGTCATTGACATGGTATCTCGGGAACACAGTCGAAACTCTCGTTCCTGGAGAATTCGACTGATGAGATCGATTGCATCTTGCGATACAATCTTGTCGGTTGGTTTTTCCCTGGGGAATTTCAAGCTTCTTGAGTGTTGCTACGGTGCCGATGTTAGAGCAAAACGCTTGGCAAGAAACGTCTGGGGTTGAGACTTACTAGGATTTTCACCTTGGTGTCATGGCGATTCTCACAAGCAAATGGGGTAAACCCATAAAAACACTACATATCACTCAGTAAGCCACCCTTTGCTGTGCAGATTCCTCACTCACCTCGTATATAATAACTCCCAGGCTCCACCAGTCACATCGCCCATCGTACATCTCACCTCGGATAACCTCTGGAGCCATGTACTGACTTGTTCCTACCACGCTCTTTGCGAATCTTCGTCTCTCTTTGCCGTTGCGCCACTCCAACAAATCTGTCGATGGCGGGCTGTATCTGGAGGGGTCTTCCAGGCCATGGAGCCTTGGATCAGGAGAATTATCCTCATTCTCTGCCATCTGAGACTGATCTTCTTTGTCGCCTTTGATAGTAACACCGAGCCTTTCCAGAAGAGAGTAGCGCTGATTATGGTAGTAAACTTGGTCATGAGACCAATGTCCGTTGAAAGCCAGCCCAAAGTCAGAAATCTTCAAGTGACCGGAGGCGGAAATGAGGAAGTTGTCTGGTTTAATATCACGGTGAATCCAACAAAGTCGGTGAGCTTCTTCGATACACAAAATCATTTCTGCGACGTAAAATCTGGTCCACTCTTCACGAAGAATGTCTTTGCGGATCAACAGCCCAAGAAAGTCTCCGCCGACCATGTAATCCATGACAAGGTAGAGGTTGGCTTTGTCTTGAAAGCTGCTTATCAACGGAACCACCCATTGAGACCTTTCGGATGCAACAAGGAAATCTCTCTCCGCTCGAATGTGACCCTCCTGGGAGTTGCTGATCATTTCGCGCTTTCTGATCACCTTCATTGCGTATACCTCCTTCTTCTCTCCTGTCATAACCTTCCGCCGGCCATTTTTGGCTCCGTCTGCTGCGGATCCCAATGCTCCAATAGATCTGGGTCTAGGGTTGGACAAAGTTCTCTCTGGTCTGGATGTACGCTCTACCTCGCCATCGCTCTTGGTGTCGTCTTTCTCACGTACAAGGCGCACCACACCAAAGCTGCCTCTACCCAGTATCTTGATGGTCTCGTAGCCGGCAATAGAAGTTATTCCTTCGACTCGGGTGCTTCGGATCTTCGTTTTCAAGTTTCGACATTGGCGTAGATATCCGTTCTCCTGGAGAAGCCAGTTTCTTCTGGTTTCGGCCTGGGCCTCGGGGGAGAGTTGAAAAGCATACATGTGCTGCTCCAATTCATGCTGCCGGTGCACTCTTGGGTCAACATTCTGGAAGATAGAATTGAAATATAGCTCCAGGTATATCTTGGCCGCTGAGGTAGATTCAATAGTCAAGATGGATGGTGCGAGTGTTGGCGATCTGCTTCCCGCGGTAGTGTTGAGATCTGAAGCACAGTCCGGCAAATCAAGTCCTCCTGAAGTTACAGTATATTTTTCTGATGAGGCGGATTTCTCTTCAGAGGTCACTGGAGTCGGCGGGGTGGCAACTCCGACAAGGGGGGACTCGTTGCTACTCGGAGCCGTGGAGGGATCGGAACTGTCACCGGCACCATCACCTTGCTTATCTGGAGTGCTTGTTGTTGAATATTCCCGGAAAGGAATACTTGGTCTTGATCGCAAGTGGGCACGGCGAATAACTGTTGGATGTCCAAATGTGTGTGAGAATCGTTGGGAAACTCTGTCAACTAGTGTTGAATTCGGGAGGCTTGCTGGTTCGCTACCAATGAGAAAACAACCAGAATCTTCATTGGCAAGGTGCCTTTGCGTCTCGCATTCACCAGTCCCTATATCAGTCGCCGCCGTTGATATATGGCAATCTGCGGGGGTCACAGCAGGGTTGTTGAGAGCGGGAGTAGCTGGCGGGTGGACATCAATTGAGCGAGCGACAGCGGGCGATTCACTTTCTGGGGAACCATCGCTAGTCAAAGAGATAGGGCTGCCTCTTTCTGCAACTTCGGATGATGGGGTCTGGTCTCCTTCCGGGGTTGAAATATTTCCACAGGATCCAAACCCGGCACTCGTCTTGTTACCTATGACTAGTAGTTAGTTTCCAGGCCAGAGAAAGTATCTCGATGGGTCACCACTAACCATTGGAAGATCCTCCCAGTCCAAATAAGAATAGAATCTTCGATCCACTCCGAGTCAAGCGGACCTTCAGACGATCTCGACTTCTGCGGGGACGAATGATGGAATCTAACGCAGGAGAGTCTGACACTGCAGAATCAGCGGGAGACGGATCGAATCTGTTGCTAAAAGGAACGACTTTGGCTGGGATCCAGAGACCGAAGACACTGCGTCGTTTTCGTAGCTTCTTGTCTCGTGGGGGTGTCATGTCGTATATACGGTAGGAAGCATTCCGAAGGGAAAAGCATGTGTATAAAGGCTGTCTGCTTTCACAGCATGGCTGTTCAAATATAAAGGAAAGAATGTTATATCAAGAAAGGAGGGGATGGGATGGTAATATCGAGATGGAGGTCGTTGAAGTTGGATTACTGAGATATGAAATGTAGAAAAACCTGAACCATTCCAAATTCAGAAGGCCGCGAGAAGGAAACCGTGGGATGGAATGCATTTCACCAAAGGCAGGCACGGCGTTGAGTTTAGGTTAGGGTTACCATGGTTGCAACTGCCTAGAGTGACGAGATGTGTAGTACAAACTACTAGTAGTCGTCCTAGTACCGTGACCACATAGTATATAGTCAGTACTTGGGACATTCTACGGGGTTCGGAGATAGTACTACTAGTAACTGAAGAAAATTGGAATAGAAAAGCCAATTAGGCAAAATAGATTCAGATACACATGAACAGGTACAAATTACAACAAACAAATCAGGCACTTTTTCCATGCAGGGGGGGATAATCTCCTCGTGATGGTCTCGGCCTCCTCAAGAGAGTGAGAGACAGCAATATAAAAGAAACAAGCCGGATATCACGGGAAACCATGCAATCAAACCGGAGCCACAAATAACACCCTGGGAAACAATGGTAGAAGACTCGGGACACAAATCAGCAATTAATTTACTTGATCTCCAGCAGCTTAACGTCGAAGATGAGCTTGGAGTTGCCGGGAATACCGGGAAGAGCCTTCTTGCCGTAGGCCAGCTGGGGAGGGATGGTGATGCGACGCTCACCACCGGGGGCCATGCCGGCAACACCAATGTCCCAACCCTTGATGACCTCGCCCTTTCCGAGCTTGAAGGAGAAGGGCTTGCCCTTCTTGTTGGAGTCGAAGACCTTGCCATCCTCGAGCTTGCCGATATAACGCATAGCGACAGTGTTGCCGCTCTTGGCAGCAACACCCTTGCCGAGCTTCTTGTCATCGATCTTGACACCCCGAACCTCCTTCACTCCGAGAGTGCCGGTGGGCTTGTCGCCGGAGGGGGTAGGACCCTGCTCAAGGTTCTTGGCGAACTGGACCTTCTTGTCGGTCTTGGCCTCCTTCTTGGGCTCAACGGCGGCGGCGGCGCCGTCGTTCTTCTTGAGCTTCTTCTGCTGGGCCTTCTCCTCGGCCTTGGTAGCCTTGCCCTTGGCGGTCTTGGCCATCAGGTCATCGAGGCTCTCCTCCTCAGCAGCGCGCTTGTTCTTGCCCTTGGCCTTGGCCTCAACCAGCTTGGGGGCCTCCTCCTCGCTGTCAACCTCGGTGATGCGGGGATCTTCCATGTCATCCAGGTCGTCGCTGTCATCGCCGTCCAGGGCCATAATGTCATCCATGTCGAGCTCATCCTCATCAGGAGACAGGTCGTACTCATCCTCGTCATCCTCATCCTCATCGAACTCAGGACGGCCCTCGTCGAGGCCAATGACGTAGTTACCAGTGATGTAGATGGTGTGGTTACCGGTGGCCTTGAAGAAGACGCGCTCACCCTCGCAGACAGTGAAATCGAGGGGCTGTTGCCAGTTCTATAGACGAGTTAGAAATTTTGCGATTGTCAAGAAGAAAAATTCAATGCTTACCGTCTCGGGGCTCAATGTGCAGACAACGTTCTCGTCGAGGTCGAGTTCCTCGTCAGACTCATCATCAGAGTCATCATCGGTAGCGGGGCCCTTGCCCTTGATAAGCTTGGAGATAGCAGCCTTCAGATCGAAGCCACCATCGTCAGACTCATCATCTTCGTCGTCGTCCTCCTCCATAGCCTCGGCCAGCTCCTTCTGGGCGGCGGCCTGCTTCAGCTTGCGAGCCTTCTCCTTGTCGCTGGGACCACCGTTGACCTCCTCATCATCAGAGTCCTCATCCTCCTCGTCATCCTCCTCGTCGCTGTAGTCCTCATCATCCTCGTCAAAGTCAAGACCGGGAGGAGGGCGAACAATCTTCAGGGTCGCGCGAGAGGGCTTGCCAGCCTCGCTATCGGCATCGAGCTCGGGGGCCTCATCAGGGTCGATAGCGGCCATGCTCACACGGAACTAAAGTATAAATAGTCAATGGCGGGATTCGGACGAATACCAGCAAGATTTTGTACTCACCGATGCGGCGGCATTGGGCACGGCGGCAACCATAGCACCGGGAGGAACCCGGAGGGCATAGAAGGCGACAGGTTGCACGGCAGACATTGTGAAATGAATCGATAGAAATAAATGCAGATAGTAAACAGGAAAAAGAGAGAGGGAAAAGAATGAGCCACTGGGAAAACGGGCGTGGATGGGGAAAAGAAAAAGATCGAAGATAGACCCAAAGCAGCGATGGCAGATACGCCGGAGCTCTTTTTTTTTGGTTTTTTTTTTTCCTGCCATTTTTCAGCCCGCCTCTTCAAAGCAGCCAATCATATCCATTGAAATGAGCTCACCGCCATATGATTTGCCTCCGTTCACCATTATATCCACCGCTTGCACGTGCCTTGCATTTTCTGCCGGAACGCGTGATGTCGCCGCGCACGCGCTATCAACCGTAAAGTCTCTCGTTGACCCATTTAATGGTCATGATGGTCTTTCTGGCCCAGTATGGGCTCTCGTCATGATGCCTCCTCTAGTGCGGTGCGGAAGCGGATCGAGAATCGTATGTTTTACCACTCATTTTAGCCGACTAGGAGCCTACCTTCTAATACAATATCACATAGATGACTTCAACAATGAGACCGGCGAGGAGTATGAAGCCTCCAGCTTCGGCGGCTTCGCAGATTATATGCGCCGGAAGAAGATCAAACTTCAGAATTTAGACGCAGAAATCCGATCAACATCCGGCGACTGTCCACCTATCTTCCGCGGGGTCGTCGCGCATGTTAATGGCTACACCCAACCCTCCCTCCAAGATCTCCACCGTCTAATCGTCAGTCATGGTGGTGGCTTTCTACAATACCTAGATAGTAAGACTATTGCTACGCATATAATCGCCAGTTCATTGACCCCAAAGAAACGAGAAGAGTTTCGAAGGTATCGCATCGTGAAACCTGCTTGGATAACCGAAAGCATTAAGGCCGGCCGTTTACTTCCTTGGGATGAATATCGTGTGGTAGACGAAGGGCATGCTCAAAAAATCTTAAAGTTCGGTGATGGTCGCTTTGGCAGTCAGGCCAACACTCCCCGGTCGAGTTACAGAGACGAATCCAGAAAAAGCTGGTACAACGCACAAATAAAATCGATGAGCTCAGCTGGGATGTCAGAAACTCCATCTAAGCCACCCCGGCCATCTCCAAACTTCCCAAGTCAGCCCTCACAATCCGACTATGGTGATTTCCCAAGCTTCACTGCTCTCGATGGCGACAAATCCAGATCTCCCACCAAGGAGCCCCGGGATTCAAACATCACCCCCGAGAAGCCGACGACTACCAATACCTCTGATGAAATACGTCGAGCTTCGCCTGAAAGAGAACTACAAATTTCGGAGATACCTGCGGTAGCAAGCAAACCCAGTCCTTCGTTGGACCCCCAGATGACCTCCGAGGAATACAACGCACAGCTCCTCACCGACCCCCGAATGCGAAATTCAAGCTTTGCCAATCCCGACTTCATTCAGCAATATTATCGAGAGTCCAGACTTCATCATCTGTCAACTTGGAAAGCTGAGCTGAAAGCCCAACTTCAAGCAGCAACCAGGGAGAAGGCGCAATCACAGCCTCCTCCAAAAAGAGCTGCACCTAGATCAAGAAGATACATTCTTCATGTTGATTTTGATTCGTTCTTCGCCGCCGTTTCGATTCTAAAACGACCAGATCTCAGAGAGAAGCCGGTGGCCATTGCTCACGGTTCAGGTCCTGGTTCTGAGATCGCCAGTTGTAATTACGTCGCGCGGGGTCACGGTGTGAGAAACGGCATGTGGATGAAAGGTGCTCTGCAGGCATGCCCTGAACTTCAGGTTCTGCCTTACGACTTTCCCGCGTATGAGGATGCGAGTCGCAAGTTCTACAGCTCTGTCCTTGCTATTGATGGCATTGTTCAAAGCGTGAGCATTGACGAAGCGCTCATCGATATTACAAATCAATGTTTGGAGGCGGGGGGGCTCGGACAATCAAGACGCGTCAGAAGAGTCTATCCATCGTGAGCGTGCATTGGCAGACGAGATTGCCCAAAACTTGCGGGATTCGATCAAAGAAAAGACAAAATGTGCCGTTTCAGTTGGGATCGGCGGCAACATTTTATTAGCCAAAGTGGCGCTGAGAAAAGCAAAGCCAGCAGGACAGTTCCAACTTAAGCCGGAGGCCGTCCTAGATTTTATCGGAGACCTGACCATTAGAGATCTTCCGGGCTTTGGTTTCAGCCTTGGAAGTAAGATGGAGGAGCTTGGTGTTAAATTCGTCAAGGATGTTCGCGACATTCCTAGGGAGAGATTGGTCTCCAGTTTAGGGCAAAAAACCGGTCTGAAAATCTGGGAATATGCTCGGGGTATTGACAAGACCGAGGTCGGCAACGAGGTACTGCGAAAATCAGTTTCGGCGGAGGTCAATTGGGGCATCCGATTTGTCAATCAGGAACAGGCGGATGACTTTGTCAGTTCTCTATGCAAAGAACTCCACGGGAGACTTGTTGAAAACCTGGTCAGGGGCAAACAACTTACGCTAAAGGTCATGCGGAGGTCAATGGATGCTCCCCTTGAGTCCACAAAACACCTCGGTCACGGCAAGTGTGATACGTTCAACAAAAGCGTCGTCATTGGCGTGGCCACCAATGCCTCCGACATTTTAGGCAAGCAAGCCATCTCAATGTTGCGAAGCTTCAACTTCTCCCCGGGTGATCTCAGAGGTCTGGGTGTCCAAATGACCAAGCTGGAGCCGCTCAAGGCTGGGCCCACTACAACCCTTGAAAGTAGCCAGCGCCAGCTCAATTTCCAGGCATCCCCCGTACGGAAGAAGCCGGTGGTGAATGTCGACCCTGATGAATTGGACAGTCCCCAAAAGGGTGATTCTGCCAGGATCCAGGTCGATCCAGTCCTCAGCAACAGTGCGCATAAGCCAATGAACATGTCCGGATCTCAGTTCATCATGCCCACGCAGGCAGATCCTCAGATCATCTCAGAACTACCCGGAGACATCAGATCAAGGCTTGTGGCACAGGCAAAACCCCGACAAGACTCCCGCTCTGGCTCTCCATGTCCATGTCCGCCTCCCCGTTCGCGAGAAACTGTTAATACCGATCTACCTCCTCAGTCCCAGTTGGATCCGGAGATCTTGGCTGCTTTGCCCGATGATGTTCGAAATGAAGTACTGGGCTACTACAGTGAACAACCCACTACATCCGCCCCCTTGGCACCACCTCCACTGCCAGCAGCATCTATACCGCGACCCGCATCTGCTAGTGGACTCAAACTAAGAAGGCCAACATCCCCTCCTAAGAAGAGGCGCGGTCGTCCTCCGAAATCTGCGTCAACTGCCAACAGCCATGTAAAACAGTCGAGTTTTGCATCGCCACGAGCTGCGGCTGTTGCAACGTCAACAAGCCAAACGACATCTCGACAGCCTTCTCCGGCTATACAAGAACAGCCCGAAGCCTCAGCCGAATTTCTCGCTGCACTTCCTGAAGACATCCGACAAGAAATTCTCGAAGAACAAAAGCGAGCACGAATGGCCCAGATCCCTCGTGTCTCCGCTCCAGCACCAACCAGGCCACCCTCCCAGCCACAAGCACCGTCCGCACCTGCACCTGCTCCTGTTCCTGCTCAGGTTGAAAAGGTGTTACATCTACCTCCTCTTCCCGAACGCCCTGTCTTCACATCGCAGCGTCTATCTGCTTTGCCAGATCTGCGAGATGCAGTCGGCGCATGGCATTCGGCTTTTGCAACCGATGGTCCCTACGAGGAAGATGTCCAGGCCCTATGCACGTACCTGCGGTGCGTCATTTCTGATGAAAAGGATATTGATAAAGCTTCTTCTGTGGTGCGCTGGCTGATGTGGCTTGTTGGCGAACATGCCTCTCCGGATGATTTTGTTGAGAAACAACCCCCTCGATCTGCACAGAGTGATATCGTGACTTGGGCCGATGCAATTCACGTAACGCAAAGTGCTGTACAGCGTGCTTTGGATGAGAGGGGATTGCCATCTGTGGAATTTGAATAGTTAATTTGTAAATTTATACTTTATATGATACAATGAGTGATGAATGGCTATTTTCGAGTATTTATTACCCATTCTTGCTAGTCGGTACGAAATTTCGAGTCTTCTCACCTGGGCAGGTTCAAATACTTTTTCTGACTGAGGTCGATCCACCCCGAGATTTATCTTGCTACTAGTAGTAGTCGCGGTAATAACCTCTTTGGACTTATAATATCTATACGTTCAATTCGGGTTAGACCCTTGGGAAAAGATCGCGGGAACTTGAAGTGTTGGACTTGGAAGTTCCAACAATTTGCTTTGCTATATTTATAGTACTAGTATGCAACAAGCCTGGCGGGAAATGTTCAAGATGAATAGGGCTTTTTTGCGAGCCAATCCCGCTCAACAATCTATGGAAGATGCCGTTGATCATCTAGTAGACTAGTAACTACCTAGGTAGGTACTAGTAGTATGCAACTCCGGAATTTCAAACAATGTGTGCTAATTGAAACTGGATAGCAAGGATCGGATGATAATTCGAGCTAACTGTACTTGTACTATGTTAGCAAGATATTATATCCTTTGCATCATATAGGCTAAGATTCCCGAGCCACTCATACACCTGGGCTTGTGGTTTAGTGGTATAATACTCCCTTAGCATGGGAGTGGTCCGGGGTTCGATTCCCCGCGAGTCCATTTTTTTTGCTGACCATGGGTCTGGGTAATCGAATCCTGATGGCATTATATCTTTTTTGGCTTGTTTAATTATGTTGATTCGTCGTTGGGAAGAGAATTTTCTAACCGGAAGGTCTCCTTGCGCGACTCTCCGAGTTGCCAGCTCGCGACCCTGAAAAACTTCCTAGTATATTGGACTTCGATTGGTGGTATGTACTAGCAGTAGACAAGGCTTCCAGGGTTCCTCCTAACTGCCTGGTATGGGCTTCGACGAAATTATTTTCCGTGTTGGCAGTCTCGAGCCCAGACGGTCGTATACAGAGCCTCCAACGGGCTGGTGGTGATCAAATATGTACAGCATTTTATTGTGAAAGGGGAATTTCAGACGTCAGACCCAGCCAACGAAAGTATATAGATTGAATGGGTATCTTGGTGTGCACTAAGAGTTAAATCAATGCCCTCAAAAGCACCCTGGGTTGTGAGACGGAACTTCCAAGTCAACATCTAAAACATTAACTCTCACTAAAAGTTAAAGGTGGAGGGGTCATTGGGGAGACTAGATAAGGCCTAGGTACCGTCAGCGAATGCGATATAGTTGGATTTCAGGCTGTCCTACCCATGAATCAAGATGGGCCCACCAAACTGAGCCATCTAAGTTTTCGAAAAGACCAGTGTCATCAAATGGGGCTCCCAGCTCGGAAGGTTGCAGCATCCCCGACATAGGGGCAAAGTCCACGGCGTGCGTGCCGAAGGAGTCATCCCCATTCACGCTGTTAGGGGTGAGCGCAGCCTGTTCTGGGAGGTGATCATCTGTTGCATGATTTCTTGCCAGGCTAGACTGGTCGTTCGATCCAAGCTGCCGGTGAACCTCCCGCCTGAGTTCCTCAAGGATAATACTGTAGCGTCGACTTGGACAGTTCTTCCGAGTGGCCTCGGCAAGATGCTGCTGACAAGTCTCTGCGAGTAAGAATAGCGAATGCAACTTATCAACGTCTGTTGGGCTTCCGGCCGAGGGACTCGGAGCCAGGGACTGGCGATGTTGCTGGATAATGTGAATGTATACTACTAAAATGGCGCAGAAGCATACGTAGTGGGTGAACCAGAATGACTGAATGAATAGCGTTTGGTGCGCTAGCTCATCGACGAGGGTCATGACATGTTCTGCGGCCTCAATGCACTTGTGCACATGAGCACTGACAAGCGGATGCGGGTCTCTTGGTCGGCGACTGAGGTCAGTAAAATCATTCAGGAGGAATGAGCGAGTAACGTGAATCATGGCATGGGAATAAGCTAGTTGAAGGACTTGACTTTGTCGGCAGAGGGGTGGAATTAAGCTCGAGGGTCGGACACTGTTGAACAGAGGTGGTACAGTCTCCTTCCATCTTTCTAGTTCGGAGGTAAGACGAACGGCTGTTTCCAGTGGCGAGTCACGCGAGTGAGGCTTAATGCTATAAAGCCGCCGAGAAATTTCGCCCAAGATGCGGCCGAGTCTATCAAAAGTACCAGTGGTCAGTTTGCAAGAAAAAGCCCAAAAAAAGTCAAACCGCGACTAACCGATAATGAAGCACAGACGCAATCATCATACTGTCCGGCGATCCTGTGCGTCTAGCTGGATCTTCCTCCAGAAGGTCATCGTCATTCATCTCATCCGGCAGCTCTTGGTCAATGTCTTCATCATGAAGCAGTCGGGGCCGACCGAACATTATGCTAAGATATTTGTCTAGAACATAGACACTCCAAAATATGCGTTTCCTAATCTCCAATTCATAGCAGGAACCACCCTTCTTAGATGGGTTGACGGCACATTTTCTATGCAAGCCTAATGCTGTGACCACCTGTAAGGCGGTTCCAAACGAGTACCAACATTCATTAGCTCGTGATGATGATAGTAGATACAGGCATTGGATCAGCCGTGTCTGTATTGTCTCCAAGCGAGGCGGGCCGGATTCTAAGGAGGAGATGTACTTTGAAGCTGCGAACCAACGCTCACTATGTGTATCGTTAGCTGATGTTTAGATTGGTATGCATCGTGATCGAAACTGCGAACCTGAGACTTTGCCCATCTTCCTGGATTTCGGGAGCTTTGTGAACCGTACCCACAGCAAATATCATGAGAACGATGGCAGTTCTCGCCACCATGTTCCCTGTCGGGAGATTAGCCACTGACGTGCGGTTTTCATACACCTGCTTGACCCATTTTTCCACACTACCCCTGTGCAAGAAGCGGTAGGTGACCATTGAAAAGTCAAAATAGATTGCCACTAGTTCCATCGCAGTTTCGTAAGGCGGCAAGGGAAAATGCATATCCTGGGATTGGGAGTAAGGTTTATCCCCAAACATGAACACGGCAGTGTTTTGGGAGGACTCATTCTGCAGCTCATTGGGAATCTGGGTCTCATGCTGATGCAGGCGACTCCAAACGCGGTTGATGAACGACACACCGGATGCTGGGCCCAGGTAGTTACCCTCAAAGTCGGTTGAGCCGGGCTCTGGAGAGTTGCCTCGCGACACAGTGTGGCGGAGTGCATGTTGGCTGCCGACGGTGTCTCTAGCCGTCGTCGTCGTAGTGCCAAATCCCGTACTGTCGCCGGGAAGCGAGTCGCTAGATAGACGACCTTCTGTCTCAGAAGGTCGAAATTTAGCAGATTTTCCTGGCGATGGAGTTGCAGTTCCAGTCCCAGTCCCAGGTAGTGGGTCAGGTGGGAGACCTCTCGAGTAGGCCGCGTCGTATCGGCATGGAAGTGATAGTCGTGTGCATCTAGTGCAAGGTAGGGTGCCGGTGCATCTAGTCTTTTTCACTTTACACGAGTCACAGGCCCGAGTAATCTTCTGCCGGCCCGCGCTATTCTTATTTGATAGTGATCCAGAGGCTTTCCTTTTGCGACCGGGGATGTGCGCCTCTGCAATGTGGACTACATTGTCGAACATTCCAGGCCCGGAACCCTGCTGCGTGGGGATCGGGGCGACTATGCTATTTGCAGCCATGTCGGGATCGACGCTAGGTAATTTTCTGCCAAGAGACACATGGAGTGTTTGCATTCGGGCCAGAAATCCTGTGGAAAGCGAGAGCGAAGGAGAAGAATCCGGGGGAGGTGGGAAAAAGCGAGAGTGGAGAGACTCTCGGCTGTTCGCCTCGGGTCGTGCGGCGCGGGGCTCTCCCCACCCCCGGATTTATATCAAACTTGAACATGAACAGCCGTTGTTAGCCAAGAGCGCCTGTGAGATGGGCCGAGGGAGCAGACGAGGAAATGCAATATCGGAGCCCGGGGCCGGCTCGGAATAAACCACTGCATCCTGCATCTCGAGAACAGGTCACTCGAGGGATCAACACTGCAGAGGCGAGGTGGGATGGCGGCCAGTAACCGAACTAAGGTGCCACTGCATTTAGCACAAGACTAGACTAGTGAGACATCCTGGTTCTTTGCAGAATACTTAAAAGAAAAGTTCGGCAATGTGTCGGTCTTTTTAATGTTGAGCCATAGAATGGATTTTCAAAAGCAAAAAAAGAAAAGAAAATAGGGGTATATCTATTGGCTCACAACTACTCGTTATACCCTATGACCAAGAAGCATGTCGATGGACATAAACGCCGTCTTGATGCATCCCAGAAAAAAAAAGGAAACCAGAGATCAAATGATCAAGTAGCGCTGCATGGCCGATGATCCCTTCACGCTAATATTTCCAAAGTCAATTCTGTATGTAGAGGAAGGCTTTTGTATTTTTATTGAAAGATATCCGGCTGCTATTGCAATTTCTTTGTCACGACACAGTTCCCGTCGGTCTCATCAGTAAACTGACATTCAAAATTAAGCGATGTTATTTTTGGAGAGGGGTTCGTGGCTTGGAGATATCGCCCATGAACGCATTAGTTCGCCTCGCGGATGGGCTAGGTTGACTTGGGTTGATAAACAATACCCACATGTCTGCATGAAACTCATCCTCCTCCATTCCGCAAGCCCCTTGGCAATAAAGGGAGCCAGAGAATGATGACGAGGGGGACCAATAGTCAGAGGCTGAGGCCAGGCACAGGACAAAAGAGGCACCCTCTGAAACATAAAAAAAAAAGAAACTGTAGAATGATATCGCGTGAGAAACAAATGCGTGGCCATTGCGGCCAAAGTGTTTCGGTCCTTATGTGCAAAACTCCCGAAAGATGATGGGCAGACTGAGGAATCACGACGACCCTCAGTAGCCAAAACTATCAAAGGGCCACCCGACCATCCTCCAATAGGACAAATGCGGCGCAAGATCAATACGTGTATAGGACCGCTGTGAAATAAACGAAAACCAAAATGTCACTCCGGTGGTATGCAACGGACGCGCTTCCTGCCGCCCTGCAGAGATAGCGA